TTTATTAGAACTATTACATCACAAGTAATGAAATTTAAAACTTCAGTATAATTTAATGCAATAATATAAACATTCAAACAACTCTTTTAACTAAAAACGCCACAGTCCTTAAACTTTTAATGAGAATTTTACCAATCAAAACTAATTTTATTGACTTTGTGAGTAATCCAAATAGATGCAATGACAATTTGAGTTTATTACTTAGCAAAAGTAAATAATTAAAGGAATACATTCGAAAAGTAATTATTTACTGTCAAAATAAATCATTTTTGTCATGTAATGCAATTATGATAAAATATGGATAAATAATTCTCTTAGACAGAAATATATTCCTGTTTATCTACCTACTATAGGAAAAATATTTTTCTGAATAATGATGTCATTGATGAAATACATAAACTATTAATTTTAAGTATTTTATCACAAAAAGTAGAGATTTCCAGCATTTGATTTTATAGTGAATACCTTTGAGTAACAAATGACCAGTTGGTATTGTATTTACTTTGAAGCTAGAATAATCTTGTTATATCTTTAGGAAGATGGCTAGGGCATGTGTTACGTATGCCCAACGACCGACTGCCTCGACGTGCTATGTTCAGTGGTATAGGAGTAGATTGGAACAAAGCTAGTGGCGGCCAGACCAAAGCATGGGACAGGTCCATGAAGTCACTGATAAGTGGACTGTGCTATGTTGGTAGGTGTAGACTATCTGGTTGAAGACCGTGAGATGATAGCAACCGATGGTTAAAGACCTTGAATGACATGATTCAAAATCGTTTGCAATGGCGCAGGTGCATCCATGCTTTGTGTTCTCCCAAATTCTAATCTTCTGAATTCTTCGTGTCCCTTTTTTTCTCTTTCCAAATTTATTTCACTGCATTATACCCCTTGAATAACATCTTCAAACCCTAATGTTTCCAATCACTGCTTATAGTTTTACCACCTCTACCACTACGGGATTTGAATCGACAGTTGTATCTCTGTGCTAATGTGGTATAGTGACTCGGACTGATGTACGAACTTATGAAGTTCTACGTTGTGACTAACTGACTGGATATCTTTAGAAAAGTATGTCTTTTGTTTAAAATTCAGTTTGTTCATTTGAAATACTAATTTTTTGATTGAGATCATGAACCGATTGATGTTAGACCACCACAATTGAAAACTTGGAAGCACTGGACGGCCGCTTCGTCTTATTTTGGGACTCCTCAGCAGTGCGCATCCACGATCCCGCTCGCGGGATTCGAACCCAGGGCCTTCGGTCTCGCGTGAGAACGCTTAACCAACTGGACCACTGAGCCGGCATCCAGTGGTGATAGTTTCTAACATTAACCAATCCACGAAATTGCGCGACCAACTTCCGTTGTACTGAGGTAGATACATGTCTCTACCCGAAAAGGATTGGCTCCACTGGTCACGGCTTCTCACTAGAACTCCGAGAATTCCCTGACGAAGCTAGTCACTAGTGAGCACATGTTGATTACTAGTATAGGGGTTGTGAAGATTATTAAGTTTTTGATTGAGATCATGAACCAATTGATGCTAGACCACCACAATTGAAAACCTGGAAGCACTGGACGGTCGTTTCGTTCTTTTGTGGGACTCCTCAGCAGTGCGCATCCACGATCCCGCTCGCGGGATAGGACGAAACGGCCGTCCAGTGCTTCCAGGTTTTCAGTTGTGGTGGTCTAACATCAATCGGTTCATGATCTCAATCAAAAACTTAATAATCTCCACAACCCCTATACTAGTAAAATACTATTATTTATTCACTGAGAAAATCATAAAATAATTATAAGTTTTATCTAATCTTATACATACAATAAATGGAACTCGATTTGTTTTGTAAATCTTTTTTGTCACTCTAATAGTAACTATATTTAATCCTACTAAATATTTCTCAATGATTTACCAACACATATATCTGTCTATTCAAGGTGTATGAAATTATTAGTAAGAAATGACAAAGAAGAAGGAAACAAAAAGAACTACACACACCAGAAAAAGTCATTTTATGATCTCCTGTGGTGTTTGGATTTTCTTTTTAAACTAATATACAGTCAAGCTGAATTCAATTAATACTAATTAAAAAACTAGTATATTTGTGTTTTTCTTATTTTTGTATTTGTTTGAATCATTTACTAAAAGATGAAAATAATTCAGTGGAAAAAATCAATAAATGTCTAGAAATTTATGATAGTTAATTGATCAACAGACGATCATTCAACTTCGATATCTATTCCCTTTGTATTGTGAAAAAGCTACTTCACATAAATTTCATGTTACAAGTAGATATTTATTAGCTGATCATCTGATATAATTTATTGGCTTTAGTAAAGGATGATGTGAAATAATTATAATAAGTCAAACCCATAAGTAAGTATGAATAATCGAATGATATGTTTTATTTAGACCAAAACAGGATTTTGTTATCGCTAAGTAACAAAATATCGTCAAAATCTAATGATTTTAATTACTGAAATACTATACAAAAATGGTCTAGATATATGTCAATCTGATTTATCAGATATATAACAAGAAAGTGTACTATTACAAATGAAGTATGTCGTACATTAGTGAAAAAGTATAAATTTCATATTTTTCATAGAAGAATTAATGTTCTTAGAAATTCTGAGATCCAAAAGTAGGAAAAAAGGCACTCTGCATTAGACTTTATTTTGTTATTAAAATGTCTCTGTAAACATATACAATTTACATACAGACGGTAAAATTAAAATTATTAATAACGAAAGGAACCGGTTATACCATCAAAGAAGAGTTAAATACGATTCAGCCAGGGGGCTTTTCTCCATCTTATTATTTTTTTAATTCTACTATCGTTAAGCAACTCTCTTTTGACCCTTGGAGTTCCTGGACACTTTAATATGTAATCCTTTTTCTGTTTCTAAATAAACTACTTTTATTTGTCGACCCACTATAAATACAGTTGAACATCTCCAGTAAATGATTTAGTAGAAAAGAAAATAATCTTAGTTTAATTATCTTCAATTCTCCTTCCAACCAACAAAGCTTGGAAACTATGATTATTTGGAGTCACGTAATCAATAATAATTAATGAAAATAAAAATGCATTTACCATGACTGAATAAATTTTGTCAGTTATTTAAAATTAAATCAAACTAGACTTGTGATCATTGTTATGTTCATAAGTTTTTGCATAATAAAGATAAAGATGCTTTGACTAATGTTTGTATAAATACAATTCAGAGCACTAATTTTCAGAAACAGTAAGTTTTCAATTATAAACAACGATTTTGTTGGAAAGGCGTATTTTATACTTCGTTATCAGAACGGTTTCTTGGAATGATTTCTATCTACCATCTAATCTCAATGGTTAAAAATATCAGAGAATTAAAGCAGACCTACCATAAACTTTAACTGTTCATAACCAAGATAGAGCTCATTACAAATTTCACTAAGACAATCGGAAGCTCTAAACTTATAAAATGACGGAAAAAATTTATTGGAATCGTAGAAACAAGCTTCACAATACCATGGATCAATAATCTACACGTAGTTTAGATTCATGTTGTCATTTTTTAGTTAGTTTTTCAATTTGTAACGAAAGAAATGATTTATCTGGCTTACTAATTACAATTTCAATAGATTAACTGACTATATTTCCTTACTATTTAACTACCTGACGTTTGATGTCAGGTCGATAGGTAAAAAACTTGTACAACCGATGTGTCCCTATCCATGTTACACACTCTCAATAATCACATGACATCTTCAACTATTGGTTTTTTTATAAATTTGGTTTGTTAGATTACAACGTGAAATAGTGTATGATATAATAAAACAGTGCTTTAAACATATTGTTTGATTTCCGTTTAATATATTACATACTTATCTTGTAGGTTGGTCGTGTAAAAATCTGGAACAATTGATCGTACTTTAGATTTGTAAAAAGAAGTAGCTAACACGAAAAATTCCCGAACCCGCTGTCTTATAAGGGGAACATTATCTCATCTTCAAAAATGAGGAAACAGCTGTTTGCAGTACAAAAATGCAAAATATTAATCATGTCATTTACGTACCAAATAAAAGAATTTATCCATATTTCTATATTAAGACAAGGATTTGTTAGTTTGTAAACTTTCATAATACACAAATAAATAGCTTAACCCATACATGCCTCATATTCACTAATGGAGCCCATATCTGAGAGAGATAATCCAACTATAAACCACCACCAATATTCGTGCCAATTTGAATTTGATTTAATCATATACAGATACTCAATATTGCATTTTTCAAATGACGAAGATCTGTAAATTCTTGACTTGTCCTACATAAAATCCACTTAAGAAATATGTATATAAATGAACCGAACACTAGTTGAACTGTACAAAATTTCCTATAGAACTATGATGTGGTTTAATTTTAATACTTTAAGTAAAACATCATTTGCTAATGAATGGTTTATACAGCGAATATTCCTTTATAAGAGGCTTTTTGTGAGTAACTCTTATTTGGCTTTGTAAATTAGTAAAATTCATTCTTTATCTCACATTATCGTCACTTTTTATCAATCATACAAAAGACAATGTGAACTAATTAAAATGAAATATTTTTAGCATTTTTAAGTTATCGCAACATTTTTAATCATTCTCGGGAAAAACAGTTCATTACCTTTTGATAAAGGATTAAAGAAACCATTCATCTGAAACGTAATGATTAGTTCTGTGCAAAAATAGGCGGAGAGTTAGTTGATTCAGAAACTAATGAATGGCTTGCTAGAACAGACCTACGTCGATACAGTATAACAATTAAGTATCGACATTATTACATAATCGAACAATTGTTTGAGAAACAAACGTACTTTTCTCAGGAGTAATCACATAAACGAAAAATGTTAACATATTACATTATCCTTAGTAAAGCTGAAGTATTTATTTCAGTTTAAATTAATGTTGACAGTGGTGACCTCTATTTAAAACTTTTGACACCCGACACCACAGGAAAAGTAAACTCACATTGTTATTGAACTTGGTGTTGCTAAAGTCAGTTTTGCTCAATACATGTTTAGGTAATTGGTTGGCATCATATTCCATATAATCATTACAGTTAGGAGTGAATATGGGTTGAGAGAATGGTGAAGTAATCTTAGGTAAGACAGAGTCCGAGTAACTTGGAGTTCCACTTAAAGGTATACTTGAGGAACTTTTAACCAAACTCCTGTATGGATTTTGGGACGGTGTGTTATACGAATTTCTGATCCACAGGGTTTCTTTAGAAGAATGAGGTATCACTCTCTGTACAGAACTTGACCTTGGTGCGCCTGAATGATATGTCTTTGCTTGTGGTGTAGGGCTAGAATGAAGTTCTGGCCTCAAAGGAGTTGAGTGAAATGAATTTGCAGGTGATCCAACTGAACTGGAGTAGGATGGACTGGGTGATTTTATTCTTAGTCCTTCCGTTCTTGAGAAGTCAGAGGATATTTGCGTGTGAAACAACTGGTTCGGTGAACTAAGAGCTGCCTAGAAACAGTTAAAATAAAAATAAATGTATCTATTAGAGAAACAAATGAAAATTTCAACTTTTTCACCTAATGCAAAGCATCATTAATGTTCTAAATCGAACTATAGTTAAATTATTACTTGAACGAAACTCATCTCAAGTGTTCCTCCTTTAAAATTAATTTGCTCGATCGGACTCAGAAATCAGATCAACTATTTTCAATAGAACCATATACATTTATTGCTTTGTCAAACACAAGTTTGCACATGTCAAGTCAAGTTTGATCCCTTACAGACTATATTTTAACCAATTATATCTCGTATATGAAAATGCAATAACTAGGAAATTCCATGTGATCAGTATCATACATACATCGCGAGTAAAATGAAATAATCACAAACTATTTGATAAACAAAAACGCAACGTATGAGTTATCTAAGATTGAGTGATGCGGTGGTTTCAGGTTAGCTAAATGACAAGACATTATAGTATGTTATTTGACCTAATTATCATAAAAATGGACAAAGCATGTATTCAAACATTTCAATAAGTGCTCAATTATGACATTTAAGGCAAACTAGTGAATTTATTACATTAAAAATACTTTTCGAAAATTGCGTTTTCATTACTGATCCAAAACCAGCACTTACTTCAGACTGTTTTTCCGTAACAATACCCTCTCCATTTAGTCTTTCATCCGCAACTATAACGTTAGGTTTATGAGGTCCTTTATAATATGTTAAAAAACCAAGCAAAAAAATCGATATATGAAAGGTAAGTAGAATCTATTATTAACTTTAATAATGTGACAGTGCAACAGAGCTGAATTTAATTTCTATACATTATTATCATTTACGATCATCAGGTTATCTGTAAAGTGTTTCAAAGCCAATAAGTGTTTTTTACCTATTACGTATTCATAGGTGAATCTTAACTTCCAGGTACAGAATATTTAAATATCTGAAGCCATTTAATTACCATGTTGTAAGAATCCCATTGATATGTTTGTTAAGCTGTACGAGTGTTTGTATTTATCGACTGTTCTCAAATGTTGAGAATGAAGATAGAGTTAAAAGACATGTAGTGTTAAATATTTATTTATTTTTCTATGCACCAGATGTAAAACTTATTGTGTTAAATGAATGGATTTTCTAACCTACATGAATGTTTGCAACAGTAATTTATGAGTCTTGATATTCATTGGAATATATGTTAACCTTTTGACATACTCTTTGGCGCAATAAGTAAATGAACTTTAATGGCTAAAGAATAGTCTGTAAAAGAGTTAATCATTAACTTCAGGAAAACAAATATTACTTGCAATGAAGTAACATTGAAAAGACTCATTAGTCAGTCTGAATTATTATCGCAACTACGAAGACATTTGGAAGGATGAAATAAGGATGTGATCATAGTGAATTTTAATTAGTGTTTCAGGACTTCATCTTTTAAGTTACAAATTTTTAATTTTTTTCTAACTACTTTTAAAAATGCACCTGCCATCTAAAACAGTAAAGTTTTTTACAGCCACCTTCTGTAGGCTAGTTGGTTTCATGACAGGTCTTTCATTTTTAAGTTGGACTTCATTATCTTCATAAACTTTCAAAAAACATTGTGAAAGCATTTTTACATATTTAAATGGTTACCACAGATTTATTTACGTGTATCTGGTGGTTATGTTAGTAATGACTAATGGTGCATGCCTTAACCTCTGGTATTTTTACTCTCCGTTAGCTTCTTCAGTAAATGATGTACTTCATTTGTTCTGAAATACTTATTAACTGTAAGTTTTCTAAAGCGTACATAACATAAGCTTTTTGGCCTAAATAGTATTCAAATATTAACAGTTTATATAGCAGATTGTTTGATGATAATGTAAGCAGTTAAACAAACATACGATATCCAGTGAAAAAACATGTTAGCAAATCACAAATTTATCTAGAACACATAAGACACTCTGTTCTATCTGAAACTTTGCTTGTGACCTACATCTTTATCAGCTGTGACATTTTTGAGGGTGGATAATAAACGTTTGAAATCCTTCACCTCAAAAATCTTATGTTCGACCATGAGAAACAAATACAATAACAACAAAACCAAGAATCATTGCACTCACTTTCGAATTTCAGAATATCAGGTTGTGGTGGCATCATGACGATTCTACCCAAGTGTTTTTGTGTATCCTTTTTGCAGTCTTTTGAAGATTGATTGTTATCTAACGTACTGGTAGATGAAAGTATAGGCACTGATTTGCCAGGATCTTTCTCAAGCTGATAACTATAAATAGTGTGAACACAATCATTGAAATTCTTAAGTTATCATCAAACAGCAAAGAACTAGGGAAATTCAAAGAGAACCGTCTCTTATTTTCCTAGTTTCAAAAAACATCTACCATAAGAAACATCATACCATAATCACATATGGTTGACTACAAAATAACACTACAGAGTTAAATAAGAACCGTTTGGAACCTCAGGAGTCCACAATAAACCTCAATTGTACCCTGTGGTTAAGCATAATATTCAGTTGTTATGTGCTATGAAACTCTTCTGTGTTAACCGTTAACTTTATAAAAAACCTTCTATTTCAGAATGAAACCCAGTGATAAATTTGATTTCCCTCGAAAATTAAATTGAGATATTCTCCTAACAAATGTACTTATGATACTACATTCCGAATTCATACTAGGCTTAATAACAATTTCCATGTTTGAACAACCCAACATCCATTATCTTCGCATGTTTTGACTCTCATTTACGACTAATTACTTTAAGCAAACGCCGAAATTTCCACAATATCTGACATCTAAGTAAATAACGTAAAGAGTTAGGTACTTTTGAGTTAACAAGTTTTTAAACACGAAGTTTTCTACAGCATAAACAATACAGTTTGTAATCAATATACAGATTAGACTGAGACAGTTTCTCATCTTCACCTCATTTTTTGAATATAACTACTTCCAGATACTTTTTATTCACTCCTGATTGCCTATAACTCTAAATTGTCTCAAGTATCAACGTACTCACATTTTAAGTACATACAATGTAATAAATTTTTTCCGCTTTGTTATAACAGAGCTTTATTGATAAAACCGAATCTTGTAACCAAAATATCTATTGGTATAATGGAAGCTATATCAGCCTACAAGATAGCAGAATGATCTTTATGATCTTTGAAAATATGTTAAGGTGGCTTAAGTCGTGTTGTTTGATTAGCATTTTGAAAATGTTTATGTGTTTGGTTTTCTTAACCTTAGTTAGCAAAATCAGATAAAAATTAGAAGACAGTAGCTTATTCATAATTCACTTGTGTATCTAGTGATAAGGATAAAAGAACTCACTTACGGGTAACAAATACCTATATCCAAGATGTGATTTTTACCTGAGTAGGTAGGTTAATACTTGCCCTATTTATTTACAATAGATAATACACGGTAAAGCTTCACGAAATAAATGTCCCCTAGTCATATGAATCACGGTAGCAAATTCACGTACGTCATTGTGGTTTATTTATTAATTAATTGAACATTTTCGTCGCTAATAATATTTATCTTCAGTGATCATTAACACTGGTTATAAATGTTATTATGTCTAAAACAATGCCTATCGTCTAAGTAATTGGTTATACAAATCATTCTACAAAGAAAAGCTTGGAAACCCGTCAAGTGTTGTCACTTATTTTCAGTTTTATGCAGCCTCCAGATAAATAAGTGGACAAAACTTTCGTGTAAACGCGCTTTCAATGGTCTTCTCATGATTTTCACGTTCCAGGTACGTAAAAGGCGTTTGGTGTTTAATGCATCCGTAGTTTCTTAAGTCTGTCTAAAAAACGACGCCAGATATTTATCACGAGTAATATTTCACAGAATGAAAAAGTAAAAGGTAAAGAATATTGATCGAAATTATTAATGGACATAAAGGTCAAACAGAAATTGAACAACTAGGTGGTCAAAATTTTAATTTTAATAGTTCTCTTATTGATGTCGACCCTGTAAAAAAATTCCCAAAATACTCATGTTTAAGGTAGGAGAGTCTAAGGATTGGACAGTTGTTTAAAGAAGTGATTTTTAGACCGCAATAGAGTTCAACAATTGATCTCGATCCAGTTTGCCAACATTTTTGTGACTCCCCTAAGGATCAGTTGTTAATTTTATTTGTGCGTGAAGTCTGTAAAACTTTATTCGAGACATATAATTCAGGCAGAATGAACTCATTTATAGCATGAAGGGGTTAATCAAAGGTGATCAAGATCATGAAAATCTGAGTCACAAATTAAATCTCCGGTTTTTCTCGCGAAGAGTTGAATTTCTGTTATCTTCAATTACTGCTTTGCCTGAGACTACGGGTTCGTGTAATTACGGTGCTTTGTATCATAAACTGTGACTTATTTGTCATTATTTCGGTTCGTGTTTCTATTCTAAAACCGGTGAAACCAAGAGATAATATGTTGGCGGACTAAGTATTTTCGAGCTAAGCTTGGAGGTTTGTTTTCTGTATATACTTATAAACTATTAGAACACGATAATAAAGAATATGACATCCGAAATTACTTACACTTTTAGCTCAGGACTAGTCTTATACTGTCCTAGTGACTAAAAATGATTTTCTTCTCTAAACCAGTGAAAGCGTTTCAAAAAATGACCTAAGAAATAAACCTTTAATTATTGACTTATGGATCATACAAAAATGTCTGATTATCAGTATAGTTATCAACTAATTAACTGGATTCACATCTTGATTACTATTTCGTCAACTAAGATTTTTTAAACTTTTGTTCAAGGTAATTCTCTCCCTACTAAAGTAGAGTCAGCTACTTAAACGTGATCACTGACTTATATTTTTAAGGTTAAAACAAACAGACGAACGAATTAACTTGTGTAAATATACATAACATTAGTAAGCCTTTGGCTGTAGGCTGCTTTTAAAGTGAGCAACACTTATGAGGAATTACTTATCTGATAGTTTGTTTTTGGAGATCGAAAGATTAGAATACTTTAACCTGTTTTTCTCTGATCGGAGGTCCGTGGTACTAAATGAAGTCTAACTTGTCTTACTTTCTCATTATGCTTACGAAGAAGCATGGTTTGAAACCGCTCACTATTTTTAAATGAGGATTGTAAGGGTACTTACAACTACTTCACAACAAGACCATAGCTGCGTACTGTTACAGAGTAAACGTTCTAGCACAGACTTTTGGAAGAGAAACCTTGAGGTTCGTTAATAACATTTTAATGATAATAACTGCTTATCAATCCATTTGTGCGTGTCCATTCATTTTTTAACGAAATTTAAAGTTAGCTTACTCAAAGAACATCATTAGAAATCGTGACCAGCATAAAATAAAGTAAGTTAAGTCCGTATTTACACAGATATACTTAACAATCAGTAATAGCAGGTCGTTTGTATCTCATACTTTAAGATGCTATTTAACAGAGGCACGTTGAACAGAAATTTATTATGTTGTGTCCCAGGTACCAACTTTATCCAAGAGGATGCGACAGTCATCGAAAGGTTTTAGATTAACGTAAGAACTTACATACTCCTCAGAACGTTACATAACATTATTGCTTCATTCATGACATCTAAAACGTTCTTGTTTACTGATAGGTGGCCGAAATAAATTCTCTGAGACTTTAGTAAAGTCTAAATAAAAAGGTTTATGAATCCTATCGTTTTATTGCTACATAAATATAGGTTTTCTTGATTTAGACACAAACTAGAAATAGATCGCCGTATAGTACAAAACAAAATTAAGCCCAAATATGGCTTTATAAAGATTAAAAGTTTGTTAAACTAAGTACTCAACAAATATAACCTACTGTTTTTCTGACTTCAATACAGCAGTCTGAAGACCGGACTCAAAATTCACTGGTGTTTGTTGACCGGAATCATCTGAATCTAAGCTATTCTTGTTAAACCAATTGCATTTATCAGTCTTAGTAGAGTGAGATTTTTCCAAAGAATTGCCTGGATTATCTGGCTGCTTTATGACCTTACAAACGCTACGTGCTGTGAAGTTTTGCTTCTTCATGAAAGCAACTGGTATGTCGATAACATGATCCAAAGAGCTAAAGAAACTCGTCGAAGTTTTAGTTCGATCGCTTTGAGCAAGATCATATGACGTTTGATGTATATGGCTTACTCCCAACATAGAAGAAGGTCTTTGGCGACTGACTGTATTATCAGAATTCTGAGTATCTCTCTTTATTGCACATTTGTGTTTATCATTACTGTCTAACACAGGTGAATGTATCGGCGAGGTGGAAGTATCTCTCAAAGTTGTTGATTGTTTTTCCCTCATCATTGAGGAAAAGTCCTTCAGGTTTTTGACGTACTCTTTCAAGAGCCTTATTGCCATTTCTCGTGTAAGAGATAGGTGTTCTTCACAGCACTTTCCTTCAATCACACTGGAGCTCATTAGGTCAGAAGAGGAAGATGAAAGAGAAGCGCTGCTGCTTTCATCGGACAGTCCAAATTGAACTTCATTAGCAGTAGTATGATTTTTTGTCCAAAATGTATCCGTGTTAACTAATCTACCAGTAGCGCCCAACCTGTTGAAGGGCAAGCCGGAATCACTTGATAAGACTTGATTGTTCGAACTTGATGGGTTATCGCAGTCTCTCAAGGCCATTTCTGGAGTTACTTTATAGCCAACAGGCTTGTAAAATTTTGAAATATTCTTATTAATGGACATTGGTAGTATCTCAAAAATTGGGGGAAAACAATCTTATTTAGTCGTATACCTGACAAAAAAATAAGAGGATGAGGAAATAAAATTGATCAAGGATATGTTTTAATGACGAAATGAAGAATTCAGTTATTCTATGCATTTTCTAACTTGTTTATTACTGAAGAACTTCATACGTCAGTGAAGTCACAAAGTTAGAAATAGATGTTCATTTTTCGAACAATCTGTGAAATACAAATGAGCCGTTATTTTTCGAAATATTGCACACGTCAAATCAGAAGGGTAGCGCAAACACATGACCCAACATATAAAATGAAAAATGACCGCTTCAAACCGTGATGCAACACGTGATGCGTATAAACAAACTATGTCAGTTGTTCTTACTTCTCATGTTGTTTGTAGTTGTCAAACACCACTACGCTTAACCGTTATGCAATCAGTTTAACGGATTTTAAACTGCTGAGTCCATATAACAAGATTATGTATCTAACCCAACAGTGGTGAAGATGACACAGGTGTTCAGTGTTTGACAACGCTTTTACCAGCAACACCTTCTAATATATTTCGTTACCACCCAGAGAAATCAAAAGACAGAGTCAAGGAGATCGGAAGAGTATATTTGGCGATAACCAATATATTGGAAGCAGCGGCTTAATGAATTATATTTCGCAAGAAAAGCTCATGGGCACACAAATGTTGGAAACTTTCAGAAATACTTATCTTGTGATGAAATTCTTCAAACGTAACACATGCTATGTTCAGGCAAGCCCAGTGTGGTAGTTGTGATTATAAGATAACAATAACGCCATGAACCTTCAAGAATAAAATTAAAACATCAAAAACAATACTTCTTTCACTTATTGAATAAACCAACTTTTCAATACGTAAAAAATGTGTTTGGTTGGTGGGATATAAATGGTGAGATAATTTACTCCAAACTTAGTTTCAAGCGAATTTGGAAAGTGTTAGTTCAATACCATCTGAGTTCGAGTTGTAGGTGATAGCTTCTTGATATAAGTGTGTAAAGCAGTTGATCGATTTTTTAAGGTTCTTAAGCAGTTAAACTACAGAAAATCCGGACGAAACAGAGAAAGATTATGGTAACATAAAAGAAACGGAAAACATTACAATGACGACAAATTCAGATGGTATTAGTGGTCAGGAAGAAAGTATGCCTAAAAGTATACAAACGCAGAAGTAAGTCTGTTTAAATGGGTATCTCTAAAGTTAAGAATAGTTTCATTTCAAAATTGGGACGAAACGCTTGAAAGCCCCAACCATTCCCCTTAGTCTAATGTTGTTAACTAAAACTGACAAAGTAAGCAACGGTGTCAAAGTTTGTAAATCTAGCTATTTTGGAATTCCAATCACGTCTATGACGTGCTTCGTCACAATCGCAGTGGGATGACCACAAGGCTTTGTCAGTCATGCGTTAAAACCTGATTAACTTATCTTTAATAAACCGTCTCTTGATACCATATAGTTAATCATGTTAATACTGGAGTTATATAATGAACAAGGAATTAATGTATGTCGTTACTGTGTTCCCTCCATTGCCATCCCCTGTTATTTAAGGATGTGTTTTGCTATGCGAATCATGGAAACAATGATCAGATAACACATTCTTGTTGTAGAACAAGTGTCGAAAGTTCAACTCATGAAACTGATTAACGGATTATCATCCATATTCCTATTTCGTAATTACATGTCTTTATTGTTGTGCACGTTCATCCTGTCTCTTGTGAGCTTCCAGTCAACCTGTTAACCATTTTACATGATTAATTATTTGTTTAAAGATCCTATCATAATAAAAGACTAATATTTAAAAGAATATTCATCTTGGTAAATTTGATTCAAGTTCCACAATCATATATCCAGTTTAATAAGCCGAAAAACGGACAGGTTTAGGGTGGAGTGCATCGCTTGAAAATAAGCCATGCGAATTGAGGATTGTCAAACAAAATAGAATAAAATGGTTAATGTCGATATGATTCACATAGAATGTTAATTTGAATCAGCTTATATGTTAAGTGAAAATTTAAGATCCATGATCAGAATAAATATGGGCTACATAAGGTGAGAGAAATAATAGTGCAGTTACAATTCGACCAAATGTTCAGTGTAAAAAAATTATTAGTAAGACATAATAAGGTGGGGTGAATGAAAAGTAAATGAATCAGCAATAATGTTAATAATAATCAGACAAAGATTTGTGAATAAAGATAACAGAGACAATTAAATTTGACTACGAAAGGTCGTAAGTGCAATAATGAAATTAAGTCATTCAATAACTAAGATTACTATTGATTAATTGGCCTTGAGTTTGGCCAGGGAAGGAGAAGCGGTTTGAAAATATTTGTTTTGTACGCATAGCTCAGGTTTGTTCATCCAGATGGCCACTACTTCAGCCGTTTGAAGGACTTTAAGTCTGACAAGCTGTGGCAAAAAATTACTGACCCGATAAATAATTGGAAAGGATTGGTTTATACTGGTACCATGACCAGTTCGTACTAAATGAGCCAATATCCAGGTGTTCGTTTTATGCAGCAGACCCTTGGGAAGACATGCTGGGAGGTGTTCGCCGGCACAAAACTGTGAATTCCTAGAAATTCGACCAATAGAACTTGGTTCACAGGAGCTGTCAAAATGGTAAATTGGTTATTTATTCATTTTTGTTTGTTAGTTATGTGCAGTCAGACTTGATCTTCGTTACTGGTGAAATGACTGCATGCAAACTATTGTACCATCTCGAAATAACTTACGGTCTCTTTAAACACGGGCGTAATGGTTGTTTGAGATTGATATACTGGATGCCTTTCACACGTTATAGAATGCTAGTTGGTATCTTATGTCATATGCCGTCAAAGCTTGGGATAAATGGATACGACGAAACGGTAGTTCATGTTACGTGTTAACTGCGAAGTGCGATTTTGACGTTAGACGGTTAGTTAAAACATCACAGTCTAACTGGAGTAGGACTCGCACCATTCGACACATACCATCTAAGTTAGTGATCCACAATACTTACTTACGCCTGTTACTCCTAATGGAGCATAGGCCTCCGATCAGCATTCTCCAACCCACTCTTTCCTAAGCCTTCCTTTCTAATTCCCTCCAATTCTTGTTCAATTTTCTCATGTCTATCTCCAGGTGTTTATTAACAGTTGTCTACGCAAAATACTTCGGATCCGTTGGACAGACAATATTAGCAACAACCAACTGTGGGAAAGAACGAACCAGATCCCAGAGGAGTAAGAAATTAGGAAGAAGCGCTGGAAGTGGATAGGACACACATTGAGGAAAGCACCGAACTGCGTCACAAGACAAACCCTCACATGGAATCCTCAAGGCCAAAGGGAAAGAGGAAGACCAAAGTGATCCACAGTACCACTCAGTCAAATGAGAGGTCAGAAATGAAAGGGTTCGGAGATATATCAAGAAGGCTATCAGTGTGTCGAGGAGCATTTGATCTAAGCTGGCTATCAGTTGCTAAGGATGAGTAGCACGGAAAACCTACTCGTGATCTTCCGCGCATCTGCGGCCAAGAGCCTTCAGCTAGGGTGTGTTCAGTAAAACTAATAAGGTCAGCATCAATGTCGAAAACATATAGAACTATTGCTTTTGGGGATTTGTTTTAGCGCTATACAAGGGTTTTACAGAACAAAAGAAAAAATCCGCGAATCGTAGATCCAGTAATTTTATAAGCGGTGTAAATTCGTGTTTCTATTAAGATACATTGTCTTCGTACATTAACTGGAAATGGTTGAGATCTAGTAGTCGCTGGCAATCAAATGCTCGATGATGATTTCCACCTTTTAGTGGGTATAGTGCACAATTTAGCGGTAAAATTATAAATTTTGCCGATAGTTGCTCTTTTCCGTGACGTTTCTTATTTCTTCGGTGGTGTTGTATTTTATTCTGAACTTCAGAACACTTCAAGGTCCTTCGTTAGCAGCGTCAGTAGACTGCGTGACGAACCACGACGAACACGATGTGATTGGAATTCAAAGTCAGTCAGAATTGAAGTATGAGTAACACATATACCTATTAATCTTATTTAGGAAAGTCGTGTCTAAAACTGTAGATAAAAAATCTTCATTGCACGAGTGATAAGATATATGATGTCGTTGTTGAATAAACCTGTTTTTTGTCATTATTTGTTCGTTTTCTCTATTTTGGAAATTGATAGCAGTTCATCACATTATATTGCACTCTCAACAGAGGCGCGACTTTGTAGTGGTATTGGTCCTTAACCACATGACTAACGAAGCAGGAGATACAATTACTGAGAAGATATTCATACAACATGTAACACTTATAAAAGGTCAGGAATAGTCAACACAGGAAGAATAATGGGAAATGGCACAGCTTGACCTCGCATGTGTGGTCGTTTTGTGTAACTTATTACTGTTCATACTAAATGCATCATTCTACCCCAAGTCCAAATGTGTTCTTCAGAAGTGCTAAGCATCATATTGTTAAGTGACACGATACGATGAGTCAGAAGAGACAGTGGTGTGAATATCATTCAAAATCTCAGATTGGATGATCACATCACGACAAATCTGTCATTTCGTGATTAGGTCTACTATTATGGTTGCAAAGATAAATGTAGTAATATCATAGTAGATCATAGTTCTGTAAATTCTCCAGCCGCAACATCAATACTGTGCGTCTATCACCCTATGCTTAATATTTCACCGACTCATAACATTAACCCATTGCTGGGTTCTCTGCTCTACCAGGACAACCGACTACATGAAAATTCAAATTATTGTGATAATGAAAACGATGGTACCTCCGATTAATAAAAAATGATAAACGAAAAAATCTATAATACATAGTTGTTTGAGAGCCTAAGCATTTTGCGTTCTACCGTTTTTTTCGTTGACATTAACAAGCATCTATCCCTCTACACACTTCCAACTTTCTTTCGTTATTTCAGACCTGTCACGGTTTATTACCGTACACCAAATGCCATACCTAGTTTCTGTAATTTATTAGTA